TTTTCAGAAAGTATGTTCTTCAAGAACTAACTCTTTAGAAACAGCCTCTTCAAGAGGTTGAATTTTATGACTAGCACTATTTTGAAGTGTTTGATCAATTATTGACTCGTCGATTTTATTGTTATTTAATTCTTTTTTCTTTAAAGAATTTTAATTTTTGAACCCTACAGGTCTACCACGCTTCAGGTGTGCTCTAGAATCATTAGCACTTGTAATTTGTCCTTTTGAGATATCAATTTTAACCGGAGCATTTTTTTGCAAAAATATATGATTTAATAACTCTTCTGATATAGGAATTATTTTGTATTTAAGTTCAACTGTTAAATCCATCAACGACACTTTCTCTTTTTAGTAAGTTAGGGTTTGCCTGTGAAGTTTGGCCATCATGGCTGCTCCTCCCTCTTCCTCGGGGGAGGGGTCACCTTGTCCGGTTGGCATTGGTCGGTCCTTTGCTGATGTGGTGGCCTCCAAATCTGGGGTGGGTTTCCAGGAAAAATCGTTTGCTTTGTTGCCGTCGTCAATGGCGTCACGGGTAAAGGCTGTGGTTTCTACCCACAGAGGAGAACCTGCAGTGACCTTCGACATGGTGGACATTGAACGTGTTGCGACTCCGTTCCAATTCGCGTTAGTGGGGAAATTTTCCAGGGGGCGGCTCCTTTGTATGACCTGCGAAAATTCTTCCATACGTTGGATTTAAAAGCTGAGTTTGCTATCGGTTTGTTGGATAAAAGGCATGTCTTGATTCGGTTGACAACTGAGGCTGACTACTACAGAATCTGGGCTAGGGGTATTTGGTATTTCAAAGAGGTTCCCATGAGAGTGTTCAAGTGGTCAATTGATTTTCACGTGGATAGGGAGACCTCTGTCGTTCCAGTTTGGTTTGCGTTGCCGAAATTGCCGGTGCATCTTTTTCATAAGGAATGCCTATTCCCCATTGTGGCTTGTTTGGGACAGCCCTTATGCGTGGATGCTGCTACCGCACAGGGGACAAGACCTAACATGGCCAGGGTATGTGTTGAAGTTGATTTGATGAAGGAACTTCCGTCCCGGGTATGGATTTCTTTTGGTGAGCGACTTGGTTTCTGGCAGCCCTTGGTACCAGAGAACTTACCCAGATATTGCGGGCATTGCTTTCATCAGGGCCATAATGATGCCGAGTGCAGATTGAAGCATCCGGAATTGAAGCCAGAGCCCTCAAGAGGAGGGAAGTCGCGGGGGATGCAAAGGTTCCAGCCGAGGGAGCTTTTGGCTTCGGGAAGAGAGACAGCAATGGTGAGTGGAGCAGACAAAGAGAGAACGGGAGGGGGACCCTTGCTGGCTGTGGGCCACGAGGTGGGGGCAGTGGCTTTGGAGGTACCATTGGTCCATCGCCAGGTAGCTGGGTTGGAGGGGCCTGTCGATGGCTTCACAGTGGAGCGACAACAGGCGCAGGGTGAAATAGCTGATTTTGCTGCTGCCCATGGGTCGGGTGGTGTGGAAGTGTTGCCTGCGCAGCAAGCTGAGGAGGTGTTCGTGCATGGAGATGGTGTTGGGACAGCAGGGCAGGTGCAGGAGGTAGGGGAGGCAGAGGGGGGTGAGCAGACCTTGGCAGCTGCGGCAGAGTTAGTGGAGCACACTGTGGGTGCGGCGGCAGACAAGATCATTGCGGACCTTGCGGAAAGGGTGGCGACCGAAGCGGCGGATGGGGAGGAGGAAGGCAGTCTTGCGCATGCGGGGTTGTTGACTAGAGCCTCGTCGGATGTCCCATCTGGTGACCTGTCTCTGCTTGATGATGACGGACAGCAAGGTACGGGGACAGAAACGCATAGGTTAGCTATGACATTGAATCTTGGCCAGGTTGCCGTTCTTGAACAAGGTGGGAGGAAGGCGAAGGGGAGGGGGATACGGGTCGCGGCTCCGTCAGACAGGGAGTTAAGGTCGGTAGCTAAGAAATCTCAAAATTTTTTTCATAGTTTATCCCATGATTAATGCGTGTTTTTGGAATATTCGGGGGATTGCAAAGCCCCCTAATCTTCGAAGACTAAAGACTCTTGTTCGGATGCATAGGCTGTTGCTAGTGGGTGTTTGTGAACCAAAATTGTCTAAGTGTGAAGCTGATTCAATTCGGCAGAAGTTGAATTTTGATTACGTAGTGTGTAATGCCTCTGGGGAGTTGTGGGTGTTTTTTAGTTCCCCGGTTGGTGGCCAGGTGGTTGGGGAGTCGGATCAGCATCTTTCAATCTGGTAGGGGCATCCCCAGTTCCCGAACCCTTTATTAATTTCTTTTGTTCATGCAAAGTGTATGAGGGATGAGGGCCAGCGGCTTTGGGAGGGGCTGTTACAGGATAAGCCTGGGCAGGGGCCTTGGTGCGTTGTGGGTGATTTTAATCTTATTATTTCCGGCAGTGAGAAGAAAGGAGGCAGGCAGTTTCGACTGGCAGAGGGTCTTGAACTTTCTCAATTTATGAATGAGGGGGGGTATTTGATGCAGGTTTCTCGGGTAATAGTTTCACTTGGTGTAATAATAGATTAGGGAGGGCGCGCATCTGGAAACGGTTAGATAGAGTTTTGCTCAATATGGAGTGCTTGGATTGTCCATTCTCAGTCTCTGTGTCCCACTTAGTGCGCCCCCCGTCTGACCATGCTCCGCTACTCATTTCGCTCGCGCCTAAAGTTGATTGTAGGAGTCGCTCGTTCCGATTTTTGAACGTTTGGCCCTCCAAAGTGGGTTTCTTGGACGTGGTCAAGTCAGCGTGGCAAGTGGAGGTGGTTGGGTCCCCCTTCTCGGTAGTGTGGGGTAAATTGAAGAATGTCTCCCGGGCTCTTCGTCTCTGGAACAAACAGGTTTTTGGAGATGTGTTTGAGAATGTTAGGAAGGGGGAAGCGGCAGTGGCGGAGGCGGAGGCAGAAATGCGGGTACAGGTTGATTTCTCTGACGAGGCTCACTTGGAGCTCCAGCAGGTGCAAGCTAACTTGAACCGGCAGTCAGCTATTGAGGAACAGTTTTGGAGTCAGAAGGCCAGGGTCAAGTGGCTACAGCACGGTGATCGGAATTCAAGATACTTTCACTCGGTGGTCAAGCAACGTCGGTTTCAATCCAGAATTCACAAGATTCAGGACTCCGAGGGAGGATGGGTAATGGATGATGAGGGGATTGGAAGGGAAGCGGTCCGATTTTTTAGTAATTTGTTCTCGGCTGACCCTGTGGCCGACTTTCACCTCCTGGATGTTATCCCTAATCTTGGGGATGAGATTAATAACACGAGGTTGGAAGAGGTTCCTTCTTTGGAGGAGGTGAAGGGGGTGGTCTTTGGGATGGATGGTGATAGTACCGCTGGGCCAGACGGGTTCTCAGGGAAGTTCTTTACGGTGGCCTGGGAGGTAGTGGCTCATGATGTGTACAAGGCGGTTGTGAGTTTCTTCTGTGGTGCTGAATTGCCTCGTTTCATTACAGCTACGTCTATTGTCCTGTTACCCAAGGTCATGAACCCTAAGGATTTTACTCAATTTCGTCCTATTAGTGTGAGTAATTTTTTGAATAAAGTTATTTCTCGAATTTTGGTGGCAAGGTTGTCTAGTGTTTTACCTCGGATCATTTCTACCCAACAAAGTGGGTTTGTTAAGGGGCAATCAATTGCGGATAATTATCTGCTGGCTCAGGAGCTGATGTCGGATATGGGAAGGAAGTGTCGGGGGGGCAATTTGGCCCTGAAACTAGACATGGCGAAGGCTTATGATCGGGTTTCTTGGCCATTTCTTATTGCAGTTCTGCGGAGGTTTGGCTTTGGTGAAAGATTCATTGACATGGTATAGAGATTGATCTCCAATGTGTGGTTTTCTGTGCTTGTGAATGGGGTGTCCTATGGTTTTTTCAAATCATCTCGAGGGTTGCGTCAAGGGGATCCATTATCGCCTTCGCTGTTTATCATTGGGGCCGAGGTGTTGTCCAGGGCTTTAAATGGCCTGGTGTCTCAGTCGCGTGGCATGGGATATACGGTTCCGCGGCACTGTCCGGCGGTGTCTCATTTGGCGTTTGCTGATGACATCATTATCTTTGCCAATGGGGCAGCGAGTTTGTTAAGGAGGGTCATGCAGATTCTGGACTGGTACCAAAGTGATTCGGGCCAATTGGTAAATGTGCAAAAAAATGGATATTTAGTACATCCTCGGATCACCGTAGCCCGTAAAAAGGTAATTGAGCGGGTTACTCATTTTCAAACGAGAGAGTTTCCAGTTCGATATCTTGGCGCTCCGCTGTTTACTGGTAGAGCCAAGGAGGCATACTATTCGGATTTGTGTCAGACGGTGCTTAATAAGGTTCTCTCTTGGAAATCCCGATTGTTATCCTTCGGGGGGAAGCTTGTTTTGATTAGGCATGTGCTGTCCAGCATCCCGATTCATTTATTGGCTGTGGGTGTCATACCAAAAGGTGTTTTCAGGACGATTGAAAGGGTATGTGCCGATTTTCTATGGCGGGCGGGGGATGAGCAGAAGAAATTTCATTGGATTCGTTGGCGAGACCTGTGTTACCCAATGGAGGAAGGTGGGGCTGGGTTTCGATCGCTGGGTGACATGTATAAGGCATTCTCGTGTAAATTGTGGTGGAATTTCCGGTATGGACTTTCATTGTGGGCGCAGTTTCTGAATGCTAAGTATTGTAAGGGGAGTCACCCTTGCCAGATTTCTGTGTCCACCCTGGGCTCAGCAACTTGGAAGAGAATGTTAGATGTTCGGAGATTAGCAGAGTTGTTTATTGGATGGAGGTTGAACGAGGGTCAATGTAGTTTTTGGTATGATAATTGGACTGGTCATGGGGCCTTATATCTGAGAATGGGGGTGCAGGAAGACGTACCCTGTCTGGAATTTATGGAGGATGGGGAATGGACCCCGTCGAAGCTAGCAGGGGTCCTACCTTATGACATGGTACAGCAGGTTTTAGCAGTGGCCGAGCCGGATGGGGACTCTCCAGATAGAATGATATGGCTGCCTTCATGCTCGGGGCAGTTTTCGATTTCATCCGCCTATGAAGAGATTCGAGAGACGAAGCCTTCATCATTCCTCTTTCGGCAAATCTGGCATGCGTGCATTCCCCTGAAGGTGTCCTTTTTTATGCTCTGTCCCTGTTCACCCTTTTTCTTTAGCACTATTTCTCCGAATTCGATCATATCCTGGATTTCATGTTTCAATGCCCGACAATCATTGGTGGAGTGCCCGGGAGCTCCAGAATGATAAGCACAGACTGCTTGAGAGTCATAATCAGAAGGAAAGCGCTTAGAATAGATCTTAGGAGGTACAACACCAATTTTCCCGACAGCTTTCAATTGCTCATATAATTGGTCAACAGGCCGACCTAGATTGGTGAAGGTTCGATGTGACGTTGAATTTTGGGTGTCACTGGTTTGTTGGTAGTAGTAATTTGGGCTAGAGGGGGGAATAGGTCTTGGGTTGAAAGGAGGGCGAGGTCTAGTTTGGAGATTTGGTTGAGGATTTTGAAAGGGTGGTGTGAGCACATTTGGATAATTGGGTCGAGGTCGAGAATGGTTAATGGTAGTATGGGGGATAGGACGGGAGTTTGGGTAGTATGGATAGGGTGATGAATAAGCAAGGCGGTTTGAAAATCTAGGTCTGGCCGAGGGGCCCTGATCCCTAACAAAAGCAGTTTCCTCTTCTTTTCCCTTAGGTTGGGATTTTTTCCCACTGTCATTCTGGCCTTGCAGAGCCTCTAGTTGCATCTTCAATGTTGACACATTAACAATTTTTCCGGCCTTCACAAACTCATCAAATTCTTCCAATTTGTTGACGATTTCGGCAAAGGAACACCCGGTCATTCGAAAAATTTCCTCAAAGTAAGGCGGGTCATGAGCTTTGATGAACGTGCGAACAATCTCGTTTTCAATCATAGGAGGCTCCACCTTGGCGGCCAATTTCCTCCATCTCTTCGCGTACGTCTTGTGGTCCTCAGATGGTTTTCTTTTAGTCCCCTCAAGTGTGGCCCTCGTTGGAGCAAGCTCGCAATTATATTCGTACTGCCTCATAAAAGCAGTTGACAAATCTATCCAAGATCTCACATCCTCAGGCTTCAAATTGGAATACCAATCCAACGCGTCGCCTTCTAGGCTCTCGGGAAATAAACGTACAGGTAAGTTCTCATCATCTATTGGCTTGCCCAACTTGTTGGCAAACATTCGAAGGTGCATCTTGGGGTTGCCTGTTCCATCATACTTGCTAAACTTGGGCGTTTTGAAACCCATGGGCAATTGCATATCCGGAAATAGGCACAGCTCGTTGTAGTCTAACCCTCCTTGTTTGTTCAAGCCTTGGCTTTTCCTTATGAACTCCTCAAACCGATCCAATCGCTTTAGCAAATTCTTATCCACTGGTGCGGATGATTCCCCGGCTTCAACTTTCCCTTGAACAGCAGTATCTAGGGTGAATGGCTCAGCGGTAGAGTAATAATAAGGTCCCTGTGGCTCGAATGGCATGCTCATAGTAATTGGTGGATATTTTAGGGGAATTTGGACATGAGGAAGGTTAGTTTGGATGTAAGGTGCATAAGCAGGTTGTGGGCCATGAGTGGGATAAGTAAAGACTTCCTCAGGTGGGTTTATGACTTGTGAAGTAACTGAGGTTTGAATATAAGGTAAAAATATGGGTTGAGGTTCAGATTGGCCAGGAGGTAGGGGCTCATGTTGTTCACCGCTAGCACCATTAGCCACCAATTGATCGATTACTCGCCGTTGGGCCATCATTCCAACGCTCAGCTCATTAAATCGGTTTAGAACTTCACTCAGTTGAGCTCCCAGATTTGTCAAGTCAGTCGGTGATGTAGTTGCGGGCCTATCAGATGATTCTGGATGGGTACTCATGTTTACACTATCTCTTGAAACTCGATTACGCGATCGGGTGATAATGGGGCTTTTTCGGGTAGCTATATACTACCTGAGAATGTAGGAAAACCCTTATTAGATACCCTTCTTGATTGATTGCTGTCAAAAGGAAATGAAAAAGGAAAAAGGAAAGGACAGGAGTTAGTAACAATTAAGGTAATTCGGATGCATGTCCTATGGGGGGAACCCTTTTTTGTGCCAAGGGTAGGCCTAGCATGAAAATGCAATCCTCTAGGGTAGGCACTATACCATACCTGATGGATCTGATCAATTGATTGAGTGAAAAATAATTTTTGAAAAATTTGATCAATTGGAGAGATGAAAGACAATTGTCAAAATAAAGACAACGTCCGAATGAATTGATCACAAACGCACGGGTTTGACCTTGACGAACTTACTATCGAAGAGACCGGAATTCGTTTGACAAAATTTCCTCAGTAAAGCGCGGGTCAAAACCCCAACTGATCAAATGGCTGGATGCAATGGATGATTTTCTCAAAATCGACTAGGTTTTCCAATTTGAATTTTTTCATCGAAACCCTAATTGGTCAAATGGATGGAATGAAATTGACAATTTATTTAAAATCGACCGAATTACCCTAAAAAGGGAAACAGGTCAAATGAATTGAATGAAATTTAATTTATCCAAAATTAATCAGATCACCCTAAAAAGGGTAAATTGATCAAATAGATTGAACGAAACTTGATTTATTCAAAATCGGGTCGATTGCCCTAAAAATGGGTAAATTGGCCAAATGAATGAAATTGAATTAGTAAATGACCCTGAAAAGGGTAAATTGGTCAAATGAGTTGACGATTTTTTTCAAAATCGACCGGATGGCCCTAAAAGGGGTAAATTCGTCAAATGAATTGATGATTTATTCAAAATCGACCAGATGACCCTAAAAAGGGTAAATTGGTCAAATGACCCTGAAAAGGGTAAATTGGTCAAATGAATTGATGATTTATTCAAAATCGACCGGATGACCCTAAAAAGGGTAAATTCGTCAAATGAATTGATGATTTATTCAAAATCGACCAGATGACCCTAAAAAGGGTAAATTGGTCAAATGAATTGACGATTTATTCAAAATCGACCAGATGACCCTAAAAAGGGTAAATTGGTCAAATGAATGGATGATTTTTCAAAAAATTGACCGGATGACCCTAAAAAGGGTAAATTGGTCAAATGACCCTAAAAAGGGTAAATTGGTCAAATGAATGAATTGGTCAAATGATGAATGAATTGACAAAATGGATTGGATAAAACGGATGATTTATTCAAAAATTGACCGAATCGCCTTCAAAAAAAGGGTAAAATGGTCAAATGCATTTATTCAAAATTGAATGGATAACCCTAAGAATGAATTAAACTAATCAAATGAATTGAATGAAGTCAATTGATCAAACAGATCGAGTGAAATGATGATTTGACCAACTCGCCCTAAAACTAGGCAAATCGGTCTAATAGATCGAATGATTGATTCAAAATTGACTAAATCGCCCTAAAAAGGGTAAACTAGTCAAATGAAATCGGATGACTTATTCAAAATTGATTGAATTGACCTAAGAAATGAGTAAATTGGTCCAATGAATAAAATGGAGATTGTGATTTATGCAAAAATCGACCAAATCACCCTAAAAGGGTAAATTGGTCGAATGAATGAATGACCCTTAAATTGGTCAAATGAATGAATTTATTCAAAATTGATTAGGAATTGACAAAATGGATCGATTGAATCGTTCGGCCATTGGTGGTTTCAAAAAATTAGTCTATGAGCCTTCTAAAATCACGATTTGGCCTCAGTTTATTAACTGTCTCAATGATAAGGAATTATTTGTGAATTTCTTCAAATTAATGTCATTTACGCAAGGGATTTTTACCAATTTTTGATAAAATGGCCAAAAAGTGATTATTAGATGCTCATATTCCAAAGATTACTCTATGAAAATGATCGGATCCTACCTTACCTTGTGCACTACCCCTTTGGATGGTATAAAATGTAAACGTGCAAGTCTCACTGGATTAAGTATCCGAGACACAAAAGTGGCTTATTCCTAATGCGGGATCCCCTAAATGGCATTCCCTTTCTAGGGTTATGCATGATGCCATTTATTAAAGCGGTAAAATGTGCAATTCGAAATGAAACGTGACCTAAAAGAACCTTTTATACACCAAGGTGGGCTTAGAATGCTATGCAATTATTAATCTATGAATGCAATATACCAAAATCTTTAAACGTGCAATAACCTATCTACGAGGGTAGGTTCCTAAAAAAAAGTCATGCCAGACCTCTTATTTGCTAGGGTTGTGAATGCAAAAAACAAGAAACAAGAAAAGTTAGTTCCACATTTAATCACATAACACGTTGGACAATTAAATGATAAAAAACAGGAAAAGTAAATAAGGAAAAGGATGGGATCCCTCCCCTCGTGAATGGTGTCCCTAATAGGGTAAGGCAGACTCTACCCTAGGTGAACTATATGGATGCATGAGGTTGGGGTTCACTAATGAATCTAACTCGATAAGCTCAAGTCCCCAAGCCTTCAGACTTAGGGCCAAGGGTCATCAATTCCATGGCCCTTTGTCGGTGGCTCGAGCGATTCCCCAAACACCGCTACGCACACGTCGTGTCACGGCCGCATGTTTGAGTGAATCTGTAAAAAACCTCAACCTTCGACTAAAAACTAAGGATATTAACCCAAAGTTTAAAGCGGAAGAGTGAGTGACCCATTGGATCGTGCTACGCACACGTCGTGTCACGATCACACGTCCAAGTGGGTCTCCTAATCCTAATAGGGTGGAGTGGCGTGACAAGCCACTAAAAAGAAAAATAAAGGGGGATGAATAGTAAAGCGTATGCACGTATGATAGTGCACATTTTGGAGGGGAGGGATCAAGAACCAACGCGAGGCTCTAAGGTAGAATCCCCTCCCAAATGCAATGCAAAGCGCGGAATCACATACAAACATCCATTCATCAAAACAATCGTAGGCGAACGTGTGAGGAAGTGAATTGATACGCGAAATGCAAAAAATCCTAGAAAAGGGAAAAATGCAACCCTAAACATCCAATGTAATAAATAAAAAGGTTTAAAAGAAGAAAAAGATTGATTAAATCAAATTTGCTCGGACTCTCGAATGTCCCCAGTGGAGTCGCCAACTGTCGCGCCCCATTTTTTTTGATAAAATAAATAAATTAAATGGTTTTAAAAAAAATGTATTTTGTGATTGGAAAATGAATTGTGATTTAAAAGAAAGATGGGTCTAAATGGGACTTTTGAAAATGCGACGATTTGACCCAAGAAAAATAGTTCAAAAAGGGTTTTTTATATGAAAAATGGAGTCGCCACTTGGTATAGAGTTAGGGTGTACCAAGTCACCCAAAAAGTGAATTTTTTTAAGGAAAAAAGTAAGAAACCCTTTTGAACGACTCCTAGTCCACGCAAACAAAGAAAAAGATTCGGGAGTCACATTTGACGAAGGGGAAGGCAAGGATAAAAATCCAAGGCACCCCTTCGACCTAGCCAAGGCTAGTTGCGTTGATTTAATCAAAGATTTTCTTATTTTAATCAAAGAATTTATTACATTTGGATGTGCTACATGAATGCAAACCCTAGACCTAGGGGTATTGGGGGAAAATTTCCCTTCAAAGGTTGAGTGGTGCCAATCACATTAATTGTGAAGCCCAATAACGATCCTTTGAAGAAGTCACGAATAATGCAAGTGGGATGCAAATGAATGGAATGCATGTATGCAATGTGAGAATATGTGAAGTGAGAAAAATAATAAAAATAATGGGATGCAAGTGGAGGTGTGCAAATGTATTTACAAGTGTTTGTGTGCAAGTGAAGGGATAAAAAGGTGTATGTATGCAAATGGGACAAAAGTGTTCGTGTGCAAGTGAAGGGATAAAAGGTGTACGTGTGCAAGTGAAAATATAAAGGTGCACGTGTGCCAAATGGGAAGAAAGTGTGATGATAGAGTGGATGCATGAACCTAGGGAATTCATGCATAATGGGTACGGGGAGACCTAAATCGTGACTCAATTTGCCCTTTGATAGAGAGGATACAAGCGTGCTAAGGCTTAGAAAAAGCCACACTCGTCTATATCCCATATTTAAGGGGACTCTCAAGCAAATGAACCCTATAGCTAGCATGAAATGCAAAAATCCTAAAATGGAGGGAAATGGGGGTTCGAGGGGCATGCAAAATGATAAAACTAAAAAGAATGCATGACATGTAATGAACACGCAAATATGTACTAACGAGGGGAAATCCCTAAGGGTCTAGCGTTGGACTAGCCCATTCTATGAATTCCGACTAGCGTTGGACTAGTGGAAACGTACATTCATCCATTCCATTCATCTACACTATGAAAAGCGAGTAGACATGCGAATCACCTAAACACATAGCACGTAACACTTAGCATGCTCGACTAAATGCAAACATCCTAATAAAGCATTTAACATATAACACATAGGCATGAAACCATTACATTTGCTGACTAAAACAAAGGGGAAAGGGAAAATGGACCAAATTACTTGCTACGCCCTATCTATTACAAGCCAAGAGGTGTACACATACCCCATTAATAAAAATCAAAAGTAAATGAAATAAATGAAAGGAAATAAAGAGAGGCTAGGAAAGCAAGTAGACATGCAAATTTCAATTAGCACATTAGTCCACATAGGAGAGAAACAAAAGGAGTAAAAGAGACTTATACCTCCCCGTTGGTGATACTAAGGAAGTAAACAAACTCAACTTGGCTAGAGTCACCCAAGAAAAGACTAACTTAGGCTAAAATCACCAAAAACAAAAGATTAATGCACCAATGTAGTGATAAGACATAAACTAAATAATTTGAATCCACCAAAACATCAAACTTTCCCTCAATTGCAACTCAATGAAGTCAAAACTACGTAAAGACCAAGGCAACAGGCATGATAATCCAATCCCCAAGCATAACATCTACTAAG